TACAAACACATACATACACACACACTACACACACACTACACACACACACACACACACACACACACACACACAGAGTTCTCTGAGATGGAGGGGCAATGCCTTCCCCAGACATGTTATGTTATCAAATACAATGTCCAGTATAATGTATGATTATCTCATTAAGCGTTGTTGATCATTGGGGTCTCCTAGACATACTGTCAAATAGTACACGCCATTGTCATTTCATTTGCTTATCCTCCTAGGACTTGATGCTCATAATATATGCTATAAACACTGTATATTTGGAGAAATAAAGCTGAGAATGATCTGGGATTTTAAGTTTTATTTGTTGGCTTTCACCGCTCTCAGGACAGAAAAATCATTACTGGCATACTCAGCAATAAGTCTTATGAGCTAAGTGTTAACAGATCTGGTAAAATACATAGTCAATTGTACAATAATGGCATGATGTTTATGACAGTAATTATCTACCCTCTGATTGCTTTTAAAACTCAACCCTAAGTTGAATTTCATTGTCCAGTTAATTGGCCCAAAGTGGAAAAAAAAAAACAAAGAAGTAAAAACTGAGGCTACCTAGGATATAGGTTACTGAGGAGTTTATGATATTATTATTTTCTCAAATTGGCACACTAATAAACTGTTCCCTGCATTCTTCACTCCATAGCATATCCTGCTTCTCTCAGTCCTCAGTGAACACATAGATAAGGCCTTCATAAAATCCAGCTGGCCAAATTACCAGCATGGATGAGAGAAGAGATCAGGACGACCCACCATCAGCGAAGTAATACTGGCAGTTGATGGCTACTTGTTGATGGGGAGTTGGTTTCCTTCAGAGATGTGCCCTCTTAGAAGCTAAACTGGAATTGCCTTACACCAAAACTCACTGAGTTTGCACTATGTTGCTTTAGCAGTTTACAGAGGACATGAGGTTAGGAGGGATAAGTGTTTTGAGAATGGGTAGCTATGAGGCATGAGGAGTAGACTGTGCTTTTGATCATAACACATTATAGAATTTACATTTTCCACTGATGGCTCAATAGTACCACTGTGTTCAGAATAATAACACTTACATACTGATTAATACTATTTTGTATTGATGAATATGAAATAAATTTAATGTTTCCAGTGTAAATCTTTTATTTAGGTAAAACTTGTTAGTTTATAAAGATTATTTTAATTTAAAGTTACCATACTATAATGTACGAGTACAGTGGTTGAGAAAAACTGTGATTTTCACACCTAGCTTACGAACTTATGAGATATCATTAACTTTTAAAAATATTCATTACAACCTTCTCAGTTTTTATACTATACTAGCTCAAACTGGTGTGAAACAGACAACATTCTACCAAACAAATCTAGTTTGCGATGCAAAAAGTTTGGTTGTGGTCTTGTAATTTGTCAAAATGGAGGACCGGTGTTCCAACAGTAACAATTTCACTACACTCCTTATGCTGCACATCATGTTTTGTGAGTGATTTTGATTTTTCTAAAAGTTTTCTGGAATGGAACATTTATCAATTGATAATTTGAAAGTTTCTGTCACATCAGTGATTCTATTTACACTTTAGTGAGACATCATTGTTAGAGAGCCAGCCTATTCCTGCACAGTTGCATCAATCGTGGAGTGACAAATTGATCATCTCACCCATAAAACAAACTTACGTTGTCCACAAGGCAGTGAGTGAAAGTGGAACTGTAAGCCTTGAGGGATATGCTGTAGACATCCATCTTCAAGTGTGTTCAGCTTGTGATAAATACCGACTGCATCAAAGATTAGTCTTTCCACTTACAACATTCCGTACCCTGGTCCCTTTAGTTATTATGTCATTTCTTGATTTAAGAAGGGTATTCAAGTAACATTATTACTTTTCTCAAATCACTCAGATCCTTTTATCTTCCTACACAAGTGCCCTGTAATTCCACAAACACAGCATCACTGTGTATAATAACATACTTCATCCCTAGATCTAAACTAATCTCAGTGAGTTGAGTCCTTCAGTTACCATGAAGATATCATAAATTACTAAGAGTGTGTACTGTTTTATGCCTATGCAGAATGTAGGTGGCAAAATTCATTAATAGGTATGTAATACTTTTTTTGTTCAGAATAACATTCCATGCTTATTATTTACTATGTTGCTAATTTAAAGACCAGGCTGGCAAAGTTAAACTACATGCTAGTGGTTGGAAATAACTGTTATGCTTATAAAATGATAAAAAATTCAAGTGAGTAGAGAAACACAGAAAAGTAAATGGGAAAATACAGAGTCAGGGTTATTTCTTTTCATTAACCAAAACAAGCTACACTATATCAGGGAATTTGTTAAGGAAGTGGGAGATTAACTAAAAAATAACCAATAATCTGTAATAAAAATGCAAGTATGATGCCTTACAAAGTGAACTGTGTACTCTCTAAATATAAAATGAATGTGGAATATGATGTTATTATTTTCCAAGAGAAGGTTGACACATGATGAAAGTTCTCATACTCAGGATGCCAATCTTTGTGTCCCCAAATGATGGTCTTCACAAACATCCCCAAACCAAAATGTCTGGTTTTGCTCCAGAGTTATAGTTATTTAATGCTAAAACTTAATCTTGACAATCTACAAAATTTCTATCATACCTCAATTTTTATATATTTGAGTAAGTTAGGTATTTTTTACCTATCAATTTTATTTTAAAATTTAATAACATTAGGTACTAAAAGTAAATTATTTCTAGACATATACATTTTTAGGAAAATGAATGTGACTTTTTAATATATACATATTTATTATATTTTATATATTATATATTATATATATTTCATATATAAATATATATTATATATTTTATATATTTATATTTATTATAATATATAAATATATACATATTTAATATATACATATATATATGATCTATACCAAAGTTTTATTATTTTACTTTATCCTTTAACAGTTTCATATATATATATATATACGAATATATATATATAATATAATATATATATAATGTATTCTATTATTCTCATGGCAAATCTCTCCAGTTTGCCTTCTATCACTGTTAATATCTGCTCCTTGCTTTCACATTAATGTCTTTCTTTTTACTTTGTAGTCGGTGAATCTTACTAGGGCTGTTCGTGTGACTATGAGTCTTTACTGTTGAGTTGACATGGACAGCTCACCACAACTGAAGCCAATGATTCTACCTATCCAGCAATTTCACCTGAATGTTAGTACTTGGTGAGCTTCATACATCTATGAGTGACGGTTTAACTTTTCAAGTCCTATGCAAACCTAATGCATAGCTGTCACCACCTCATTATTTCTGTGGCTGTGTCACCCCCAAAAGATGACTTCCCAATGCCATTCCTTCTGTTTTCCAGTTGTCACATTTCTTTTTCTGCCTACCCCACTGATTTGTCTCAAGCTGTTTTAAGTATTGACATAAATGTGTTTTTTAGGACTAAGTGATCAACAGCCACTCATTCTAAGCATCTTTAACACCCATAAATATCTACATTCACAGCCTTTATTGTAAAGAAAAGCCTTTATTATTAAGTGTCTAAGTTGTATTAGTCTTTTTAAAAGCTATTTAATACCATAGCAGTTTACCAAAAATAACAGTAAGTTCCACTTTAGGGTTCAAAACTTCTCCAGCCATGGTAACGGACTGCAAGTGAATTACCAAGCATGAACCTATGCAGCAGGCCTCAAGTCTAAGCTGAGGTCTGCTGGTTGCCTCCATAACAATTTTGAAACTATTTCAACAATAGTGAAATGTTACCTTTGGGGTTGGAATTGTACTTCATACTGTTTGCTTGTGGGTAAGACTGCTAAAGCCTTTCTCCCTGCATACTTACATGGCATTTTCTGTCATTGAAAAAGCTAGCCAACAGGGAAGAAACTTCTACTGCACTGCAAGTTTAAGTGTCTATACATCACAATGTGTCTAGTTCCTTCAGCAATAAGGTCTTATCCGTACCCTGTTGCTCTTGTGAGTGACCGAAATGTCTGACGACAGTCCAACTGCTTATTAGGAGACAACCCACATTTGGCACTGGGATCTATGTTTAATAACTGTGGAGATTTGAATGAGAATTTTCTCCTTAGCCTTTATTGATTGTCGTATTTTTTTTTTTTTAATTTGAATTACTGGTTCCAAGACGGTGGAATCTGGTGCAAGGATTAGGAGGTATAAACTTCCTAGAGTAGGTGTTTCCTTGTTAGATAAAATGCATCACTGGGGGTAGCTTTGGGGTTTTAAATCCCACGTTTGGCCCTGCTTCCTGTTTGCAAATTATGATGTAAGGTTCTTGGCCACTGCTCAGCAGTGCCACATTTTCTGATCATGAAATTACCTTTTAAATTTTTAGGCAAGCACTCAATCAAATGATTTCTTTGATAAGCTGCCTTGGTTGTTTTGAGTTTATAGCCATTGAATAATAATGTAGGTGGTAATCTATGCTTTATAGAAGCAACATTTTCCTTCCACATAAAGTAGCTCTTACTTGTCTTTATACATACATTTTCAATGCACTTACAAAACTGTAGGTTTCCTTGTGGCTTTTTTTTTATATCCCACTCCCAAAAGGTACCACCCCGAGGCTATTTCCAGTTTTAGTTTTTATGTAAGTTCTCTAAGTTAACATTTACATCGAAACATTTGAAGCCAAACTCCACATGGAATACATAATCTGTGGCATTTCTTTCTGGACCTGGCTATCTCAATGAAAGAGTTTTCTAGAGACATCTGTTTACCCACTAGAACCCCAATCCCAGGCTTTATTTACAGCTGGAAAAAAAATCTATTCCTCAGGTACATCACATTTTCTATACCCATCAATAAATTCATGGTCATCTAGGCAGATTCTATCTCTTGATATTATGAACATGGATATATAAGCTTCTATAGTAGGATACAGAGTCCAGTAGGAATATGTTCAGGAGAGACACCCCTAGGGCATATGATAGTTCTATTTTAAAGTTGAAGAATACAGATTTTCTCCCCCACATCCTACTATGGAATGCTTCAGAAATTTACCCTTCATCCTTATGCAGGGGTTATGCTGATCTTATTTGTATTTTTCCAAATTTTGTGTGCAAGTTGCCAAAACAAGCATAATTAACAGATGTCCTTAACCATAATTGTACATGGGAGTGTAGATTTCTTAGTCAGGTTGAGATGTTGAAGGGTCCTAATGTTGTGTTACAGCAAATCAGAAAGTAGTTCTCTTTCCTATCTGTGTGTCTACCTGATAACCTACCCTGACTTCATGCAGTACAACTGGGAACTGCAAGTATCAGCCCAACCCAACCAGCGCTCCTTCCCAGCTGAGGTTTGTTATTATTTTCATCAATCCAACATAAATGAGAGCATTAGTCCACAGAGCTTAGAAATTTAGCTGCAAAAAGTTAAGATTGAGTGAGATTTGAAAGTTACACATACACATGATGCAACAAACATAATGAAATGAGGGTTTGGAAGGAAAAGGAGGGGTTTAATATAATTTTATTGTGATTTCAAAAGTAAAAAAAAGCGATATAATTTTCCTTTTCTAAATAATTACTATAAATCCTTAACAGACGATTGTGACAGACTGTGAGTATATAAGACTGTTAGAGTTTTGTTGAGGCGTGAACTGAACAAATGACTTTGTGTTTCCAAAGAAACTAAATTACCAAAATGAAAATTAACAAACTAATTCTCAAGGAATTTTCCCTGGAGAAAATCAAGTATCACTCATACAAAATTATTTGGCTAAAATATCTTTGCAAAGATATTTTATTCAACTTTTTTGTTTTCTAATTTCTGTTTGAAATATAATTTATAAGAACATTTAGGAAGTGATTATAAAGTAAGAATGCTGATTTTACTTCAACAAAAAGTAAATAACTATGGAAGTAAAAAAATAAAATAAATACATAAAATCTACCATGAGTACTGAAAGGAAAATGAGTTAAAGATTTTCTCATGATTTAACCACACATAAGAAGCTTAATTAATCTATGCATCTGCTTTTTTCTGTTTTTCAAGTAAGTATATTAATCACATTTCATCTGAATTTCTGATAGATAAAATGATGTGACAATAATATTGGTATTGATCAAGAAAATCTACTTGATAGATTGTTTTATCCCAAATGGCCATCCCTAAACACATCAACATAAAAGCAATACTGAAAGGATTCATCCTGACATTCGTCTATATTATACCACAATGATAATTAAAGAGATCACAAATTTGTGATGAAGGGTGTACATTGAAGAGTTGGGTGTAGGAGAGGGAAGAGTGGAGATAATGAAAATAGACTAATCATATAGGAAAATTTCATAAAACATGAAAATAAAACTAAGAATCACTAGCATGTTTTGCAATATAAATGTGTATCCTTAATACCTTGAAACAGTACTTCAGACAGCGAGATTTGAGGCAATTTGTATTCAGTATTTCTAATCTTTTTGCTATTAATTTCAAATATGACTAATTTATGTTTATATTATACTTAAAAATTGATATTTTACTTAAATGTATGCATTTTTGTGTAAGTGTGAACTCATACTCTGCAAATGTTGGCAGACTCTCATGGTCTGATGACTCTCCGGAGCTGGAGTTAAATGAAGATATGTGCAATAGGTCAATGTTGGTAGCAACAGAAAATGGATACTTCACAAGAATGATGAGACCTCTTGACTGCTGTCCATATAGCCAGTTAGTTTCAATAAATAAAATAGCATTCATCTTCCTAGTAGTGTCCTTTGGTCCTCCCACTTATGTGTTGTTTCCATTCAAGGTAATTTAAATATGCCTCCCTAAAATATTGAGATGATATTTAAATTGTATTTCAGTTTGGTCTACATAAAGCTAAAATATATATGAATATTATTACCATTGTTTCTTTAAATTATCTAAAAGTTTACATTTTAGTGAAGAAACTAAACTGTGCATGCCTTTAAATAAAAGATTATTCTTTAATGCACAATATTAAATAATTTTGAAAATAAGAAAAGTCCTTTTCGTGAACTGACATGTTTCCAGGCAATATCTATCATGATTGTTTAATATTCAGTAAAGTTGCTATAATACTAGCGCATATTAAACATTAATACCAATAATATGTTAGAAGCATGCACCAATTAGAATGGATTTATACTTAACAACTAAATAAATAATAAAAAAATACAGTAGAAAGAATTAATTTATAAAAGGAGAGTATAAATGATAATTTTTGTAGGGTTTTAAAATCACTAGATATGTAGAGATGATTAATGACATATTTTTGTTACCAGGAAAGAATAAAAAACAGATAAAACACTTGATCATTTGTTAACAAGGTGTCTTCTCTAGATATAAGAAGGAAAGATATGGATGTGTAGTGAATTTGATATGACATATAGCAAGAGTTCCCATTATTTGATATGGACTGAGATAAGCCATGAAAACTATTTATTTGTGTGCAAAGTAAGACAAGAACACGGTTCTCAAATATATCACATGACAGATATGTCATTTTAGACATCCTTCTTAGTTTTAAGTAATAAGTCTAAAGTTTTCTACCAAAAAAATTATTTTTCCAAGAACTCTAACATTTATTATTGTATTTATTAAGATTTTTGTTTTGACATAAAGAGTTCCTCTTTACTATTTTTATTAAAAGGATATTAAAAGGATACGTCTTAAATTTAGAAACAATTTTTAAACAAGATAAAGTTTTAAAAGTTCTATATATAGTCTATATAGCACAAGACAATACTGATTTTCCATTGAAAAGTAAATCGAATAAATGTAAGTTAAACAACTCGTTTAATATGCGATTGAACATGAGGGAATCTCAGGGGACAATGGCGAAGTGTGTTCAGATGCAATACACAATGATTAAACTACTAACTCGTTAGGAAGATTAATCAAATTAATCATGAGTAACCTTAAACAGTGAGCTCCCAAATACCAAAACCTTCTTTCAATTACTGGGTGAATTGTTCTAAAATCTGTTCATTTTATCTGTTAATGGTAAAAAGTCAGCAATAAGAAACATTCTGAGAATTTTTGTTCTAGTGAGAAAACATATATTCCTAGAACTGGGTGTGAATTCGTATATCCTATAATAAATAAGACACGCATATAATTAAATTGCTTAAAGTATTTTCCTTACAGCTGCTCATCATTGGAAAGTGCTTTTAAGGTGTCACTTTTACTGTACAATTTTATCTTTGGCAATTTCCGTTACTGCAATAGATTTAAAATATAGATGACACTTTATTTGTGTGCAATTTACAATGTGCAATTTTCTTTATTTCCTATCATCCAAAGTTAACATAGAGTGTCCCTGGATGACAAAATAGAAATGCTTGGCTAGTGAAGAATGGCTTTTCATAACCAGGAAACCTGTGGCTTCTCTAGTCTTCCTCTATGGATTATATTACTTGTCAGACTCAGATATGAACAAAGGAGAATCAATAGTGTGTCATAAAATGGTTAAAGAAATAATACTGCCAATATGGACTTCATTCATTCATCTCCAAATTGCCTTTTGACAACTTTTTGTAGTAAAATAAAATTTTATGGAGAACATTGGAGACATAGGCACATTCTTTTATTACTTGTATTATTATTATTATTTCTTATTTTACATATCGATCCCAGTTCCCTCTCCCTCCCATCCTCTCATACACATGCACACATATGCACCCATGCACATGCGTGCACACAGATGGCAATATATGTGTTCAGTATCATATATAAAAGAGAGGGAGAGAGAAAGAAATAAGTAGGGTGTGTAATAATTGTAAATATGTAGCATTGGAGAATCTTAGTGCTCGTAATACTTTAGTTTGTATCTAAGCACCAGTGAAAAGGATGGAATGATAAGTCTGCAGGTAGGATAAGGGTGTGTTATATGTTATAGGAAGCCCTGTGGGATTTTCTACTTTGCTTTAAAAATCAAGGAAAGCTATTGACAGGAGGAAGGCAAATTCAGAAAGGGATGATGGGTGGCATGTTTTACAGATTCATTATGTTGTAGATTCAGAGATTTGCTAAATAAATTCAGTTGCCCAAGTGTGAGAGAAGTGAATAAATAAATTCTTAGAAGCCAAAAATACATTGTTTCAACTTATGGGGAGTATTAATGACATTTACATTTTCTTTCTACTGTAATCTTATTTTGTTTTTTCATGTCAATCCCAGTTCCCACACCCTCCCATTCTCCTCTGTTCCCTCCACCAACCCCCATCCCATCCCCTTTCTGCTCCCCAGGGAGGGTGAGGCTTCCCCTGGGGGATCTTCAAAGTCTGTCCTATTATTTGGAGCAGGGCCAGCATTCACTTCTAGTTTAAAATGAAACATGCAATTATAGAAACGATAAGGGAGAATTTTATCTATAATGTGGCTAATTTGCTACATTAGCAGGAAATATGCAATAAGAATCAGCCAAGGCCTCAAAGGTGGTCTTTATGCACCTTGTTTTATATTAAGTGAAAGATTATGTAATAATGGATATTTCAAATGGTCAAATAAATATACATAACATTATTCACTAAGTTAGAGAATCCTTTTCAACTATCCTTTGTTAATTGTGAAGACAAGAACTGTCTTCCACAACCTGTACCCTTTATCCTAACTCTCTAATTTTGGGAAAAAAAAAAGAACATTCATCTTTCAATATGTTTTGAAATGGTAAATTCCTGAGTTTATTAATTTTTAATAACATCTTGTATTTGTTAACATATATATAATGCATTTGCATAATTCATTTTGATTTTTAAGAGTAGAAAGGAGTATATTTGGAAACCTAAATGTTCGACGCTACCACAGGTAATTACAAAAGGTTGGTTGACCTAGCAAAGCCATACAGGTAAAGTGGCTCCGAGGTCACTGGTGTCTACACTCAGGCACTGCATTTCCACCTCTGAATTAGGTAGAAGGAAAGATTCAAGACTTTCTGCTAAGTATGCTTTCATGAATACTTGCAGTGTTGGGACTGATACCTCCATCTCTTCCTGTCTCTTTTTTCTGAGTGTCTTTTATACAGTTACGTAAGGTTTTCAGGGTTAGACCTGAGTGTTTTCGCCATTGTGCGCCAAATTCCACCAAATATAAACCACCTAATGTTTGCTACT